CTAAACCAGGCGTCGATCACAGTCTGCCTGTCAATCATGGGGAGCGTCAGGTAGAATGCAAGAATAGGTCCCTGCACGGCCAACCCCCACCTTTCAGCTGCCGGTCCCTGTCTCCCCCTTCCCTCAGCCTCCTCCGCTGCTGTCATCCTCAATGTACAGCGAAGAGCGGAAGGCAGCAGAGCTCAGGATGGAGGGTAGGAGGAGGTGCTGGCCAAATGAACTTTTCATATTAACAAGCTGGAAATTGTTAGCTAGGACCGCCCTAGCAACCAATCACCTGTGGGTTAATATGAAAAGTTCATTTGGCCAGCACCTCCTCCCACCGTTCATCCTGAGCTCTGCTGCCTTCCGCTCTTCACTGTGCACTGAGGATGGCAGCAGAAGAGGAGGCTGGGGAAAGGGGGGGGGAGATGCCATCAGTCCAGAACTGTGCTGCCTCCCACACACTTCTATACAGAAGTAGAATACTGCTTGGGACACTGCTATGAAAGGGAAGGGGGAGGCAGAGGACATTTCTGGGTGGGGCCCAGAGTTCGCTGCTATGGGGTAAAGGGGGGCAGAGGACACCACCGGGGGGGAGCTGATGTGCAGAGGACAATGCTATGGCCAGGGCCACCCCTGTAGCAGGTTCCTCTAACGTATCACTCCCCTCCACAGTAGTGTCCCCTGCCCCCCTTCACATCACCCCACCCCCTTAGTTGTGTCCTTTGCCCCCCCCCCCCAACAACCAGCAGTGTCCTCTCCAAACCCCTTCCCTCCCATGGACAGGTATTTTAAAAATCTGAATTCCCAGCAAGTGACTGGGGATTGGGATTTTTCTGTCCCCCCTACCCTGGTGCCCTAAGGCAGCTGCCTAAGCAGCCTTATGCTGGCACCCAGCATACGGCTGCTTAGGCAGCCACATTAGCGCACCAGGGTGGAGTGGGGGGGGGCAGAAAAATCCAAATCCCCAGCTGTTTGCTGGGAATTTAGATTTTTAAAATACCTGCCTTCCGACAATCTCTTTTATTGTCCTCCTGGAGCAGCTGAAAACTAGCATCTTCTTCTCGCCCTCCCACCAGCTTACAGCTGCTGCAGGAGGAAATTCAAGGTATCGGTTCTAGTAAATGCTTCCCCTGCTGTCCTTCTTGTATTTGTTTCTCCTTTTTTCTGCTGCCTGTACCCTCCCCCAAGTTCTCCCCTTTCAATAGGGCTCCTAAAAAATTGTTAAAAATAATAATAAAATAAAATTGTAAAATAAAAACTACTGACACCTTCCACTGCCTTACTGACACCAACCTCTGCCCTACTGACACTGTCCACTACCCTACTGACTGACACTGTCCACTGTTGTACTGACTAACACCATCCATTGCCCTACTGAACGACACTGTCCATTTTTAAGGTAGGCTAAGTTTGTATTTTTACATTGACATTTGTTTTATAATATTTTTCTACATTTTCCTTACTATTTAGTTAGGCCTTGGTAGTTAATTTCTTTTTTTGAACCCCGGTGATCTTTGATCTTTTTCATGTTGTTCAGGTAGATCTCCTCCTCTCAAAGGTTGCCTACTCCTGATCTAAACTATATCATCATCAATTTGTATCCAGTCAGTAAGGCCCTTCTACAACATAGCTGTTGATGTAGCTAAGGGAGACTGTACAATCGGATTGTACCATGTGGTGAGCTTTTCAAATGTGGTCATTGCTCAGCAGATGGAAAAAAAAAAAGTTCCAGGAAGAGTTAAAGTCAAGTGACTAGCCTTTACTATGTTTGAGGATTTGTATCTGCAGTGTTATGTATTGCTAACCCAAACCTCAGTCTGCGTTTTATAAATGGTAAATAAACTACATGCATAGAGATATCCACTCTCTGTTATGAATGGGCCTCTTAATTTCCACCTGATTAACTTTTTTCCTTTTTCATCCAAATACAGTACCATACCTAGTTGAAAGCGAGTTGCCAATTCTAGTACTGTGCTAAATAAACTACCCTTATAAAGCATAGAGATCATTTATACAAGCCAATGGTCAGCTCCTCTGCAACTTAATGTAACATTCACCAGAGATTGTAAGACCACTTGACAATTTGAACAAGAAGACTACCCAGCCAACCCATACAGTAAATCCTTCATATTCCTAGTACTTAATAGAGATGAGTTCAGGCATCCTCCAAATTCACCTTCATCCAAACCTGAAAGTCACTCTCTTTGTTAGTCCAGTCAGCTGCGGGTCGGGTCATTCCCTGCCCCGCAACACACGTAAACACAGTGGTGGGATTCTGGTGATGTCAATGCCCATATATTGACACCTGCCCATATTGACAGTGACCAAATACGGACGTGTGTGCACAAAAGGGCAATGATCTTACCAGCATCCTGTCCCTTTGTTTAAATGGACTGTGGGACAAGGAATGACCCAGCTGGAAGGTGATTGGAGTGAAAAAAAGCATTAATTAAAAATGCAGGTAGAGATGAATTGGAGAATACCCAAATTTATCTCTAGTACATAACTGTCATCAAAATTAACCTGGATCAACACTTGGCCATAATGGATGGATGTGGTTTGTTTGATATTGATCAGAGTTTGCAGGTGCTGACTGCTTTTTTCTTGTTTGTTTCATGACTGAGGCAGCAATTTCCCCTGTGAAACAGTTAAATGCATTTTTCAGCTTTCGTTTTATTTAAACAAAGCTGTTGATGTGATTGGAAGATTCTTGACAACCAGACAGATTGCACAGTTGAAAAAAACGCAGATCTGGTGCAAGTCTGTGGTCTCTACAGTGACACTGAGCTTACATTAAGTTGGAATGTGGCTTCTGTGGATTTATCTGATATGGTGAGCTGCAGTGTTCTGCTTTTAAATTAAGTAGAATATTCACATTGCACATGTTCCTGAAGTGGATTTAAGTAAGTGGGTGCTATAGCAACTACCAGCTATGATCTGGTATCAATGCAAGTCAAATAATATATTGCCAGAACACCATGGATCTTCAGAATAACATCCAAACATTGAATAAAAATGATTATATCACAGCAGTAAAGAGAAGTTGCCCCCTGACCGCTGATGTCATCATGATGTCAGAGGTCAGATGCAGCCTTTTTTTGCTGTTTTGATTGGTGAATATTACTTTAAATGTCACCTTGCATTTGTCTGATGAAAGAGTCCTGGATGGCCATGAAATGTTGCAGTTTTCTGCTGTGATCATTTTAATAAGATTTTGGATTTTATTCTGAAGGTCCAGGGTGTGCTGCAGATATATGCATTAACCTGATTTTAAATTAGTGACAGGTAAAGGGTTAAATGAGTCAAAGTCTAAAAAAAAAATAAAAGATAAAAAGATACTTAGCCAATATGGCTAATGGAGCCCTCAGGAGGAACTCTTATGTTTATATTTTAAATCCCTATGCTTTTTCCTGAGAAATCATAGTTTACTCAGCCTAGTGACATCTGGGTTCTAGTTATAGGGCCTCTTGCACACTGGACATTTGGCCATCTCTCTTAGGCACCTTTCCTCCGTGCAGCAATGCTTTGACAGAAAAAAATGTTTGACGCTTGTAAATGCATGTAACACTTTTAGGCGAATCAAGCACTTAGGCTTTAATTCATTTTATTGGCCATAATAATATTTTATTCTGCCCCTTGAAATTAATTAATTAATGAATTTTTTCTGCCTCTAACTCCTATGTGTGCATGGACACATAGGTTAACATGCAGGGGCATTTAGAGGCATAAAGAAAACTCCAGATACCCGTAACAGTAGCGTTTAAAACGTTCAGTGTGCATGAGGCCTAGTGTGACCTGCTATTGGCACATGTTGGAGCACTAAATAGTTTGTATTGCTATAAGCCAGTGATGGCGAACCTATGGCACGCGTGCCAGAGCTGGCACGCAGAGCCATCTCAGTGGGTACGCCAGGAAGAAGATGATGAGCGCGCATGGACCGGCCATCCAGATCTCGTCCACACTGGACCCCCATCAAACTACATTTCCCACATGTCTCTGGGGCCAGGGTGGGCGTGGACAAGAGGAAACGGCTCCAATGCGGCTCTGGCACCAGGGGTGATGTAGCCGGGGATGGGCGCGGAAGAGAGGAAGAGGCTCCCACACTGCTCCGGGGCCAGGGGCAACGTGTTCAGCATGAATGGGAATGAGCTGCTGGGCTGGAAGCCACACCGACGCTGCCAGAGGTGAGATTAACTGCTTGCAGTGTCATCCATCAGTGCCCAGCAGTGTCGCCTGTCAGTGCCCAGCAGTGTCGCCCATCAGTGCTGCCCATCAGTGCCACCCATCAATGATGCCCAGCAGTGCCATCCATCAGTGCCCAGCAGTGTCGCCTGTCAGTGCTGCCCAGCAGTGCCACATGTCAGTGCCCAGCAGTATCGCCCATCAGTGCTGCCCATCAGTGCCACCCATCAATGATGCCCAGCAGTGCCATCCATCAGTGCCCAGCAGTGTCACCCATCAGTGCCCAGCAGTGTCGCCTGTCAGTGCTGCCCAGCAGTGCCACCTGTCAGTGCTGCCCAGCAGTGCCACCTGTCAGTGCCCAGCAGTGTTGCCCATCAGTGCTGCCCATCAGTGCCACCCATCAATGGTGCTCAGCAGTGTCCAGCAGTGTCATCCATCAGTGCCCAGCAGTGTCACCCATCAGTGCCCAGCAGTGTCGCCTGTCAGCGCTGCCCAGCAGTGCCACCTGTCAGTGCCCAGCAGTGTCGCCCATCAGTGCTGCCCATCAGTGCCACCCATCAATGATGCCCAGCAGTGCCACCGATCAGTGCCGTCTGTCAGTGCGTCCAGGTAGGCAAGTGGTTAATTGCAGTGTTGGCACTTTGAAATAAAAAAGTTGGTTTGTGTTGCAGTTTTGGGCACTCGGGCTCAAAAAGGTTCGCCATCACTGCTATAAGCTATACACTATATTGTCAATAGTATTGGGACAACCCTCCAAATCACTGGATTCAGGTGTTCCAATCACATCCATGGCCACAGGTGTATAAAAGGTGTATAAAATCAAGCACCTAGGCATGCAGACTGCTTCTACAAACATCTGTGAAAGAATGAGTCGCTCTCAGGAGCTCAGTGAATTCAAGCGTGGTACTGTGATAGGTTGCCACCTGTGCAATCAATCCATCTTTGAAATTTCCTTGCTACTAAATATTCCACGGTAAATTTTTGGTGGTATTATAACAAAGTGGAAGCAACTGGGAACAACAACAACTCAGCCACAAAGTGGTAGGCCACATAAAATGGCAGAACAGGGTCAGTGCATGTTAAAGCACACGGTGCGCAGAAGTCACCAACTATCTGCAAAGTCAATAGCTAAAGACCTCCAAACTTCGTGTGGCCTTCAGATTAGCACAACAAGAGTGTGTAGAGAGCTTCATGGAATGAGTTTCCAAGACTGAACAGCTGCATCCAAGCCTTACATCACCAAGTGCAATACAAAGCACTGGATGCCATGGTGTAAAACATGCCACCACTGGACTCTAGAGCAGTGGAGACATGTTCTCTGGAGTGACAAATCACACTTCTCTGTCTGGCAATCCGATGGACATGTCTGGGTTTGGTGGTTGCCAGGAGAACGGTATTTGCCTGACTTTCATTGTGCCAAGTTTAAAGTTTGGTGAAGGGGGATTATGGTGTGGGGGTGTCGTTCAGGGGTTGGGCTTGGCCCCTTAGTCTCAGTGAAGGGAACTCTTAGGCTACGTTCACACTAGCTTTGTCAGCAGGTGTCAGACAGGCATTTTGGAAGCGTTTTTAACGCTTCTCAAACGCCTATGAAAATTCTGCAGGTGGCAGCACACAGTGCTGTTCACACTGAACCGTTAGCGTCACAGCAAAACTGGCGCCTCATGTCGAGTCAGGAGGAGTTGTAGCCTCCCATTCAAGTCTATGGTGCTGCTCCTCAAACACCTGGCAGGCGTTTGTGATGTGGTTGTGACGAGGTTACGAGGCGTTTGCGGAGCATTAATACCATTTAACTTCATTATAGGCATTTGTGGTGCAGTTTTAATGTTTGGCAAACGCCTATCAAGTGCCTCAAAACTGCGCATAGGGCATTTGGGGAGCATTTGAGGAGCATTAAAAACGCTTCCAAAATGCCTGTCAAACGCTATAGGGTCGTTTGACAAGAGTTAGAAATAAAGTCAAGTGCGAACGAGCCCTTAAGGTGTCAGCGTACCAAGACATTTTGGACAATTTCATGCTCCCAACTTTGTGGGAACAGTTTGGGGATGGGCCCTTCCAGTTCAAACATGACTGCGCACCAATGCACAAAGCAAGGTCCATAAAGACATGGATGAGTGAGTTTGGGGTGGAAGAATGTGACTGGCCTGTACAGAGCACTGACCTCAACCCGATAGAACACCTTTGGAATGATTTAGAGGAGACTGCGAGCCAGGCCTTCTTGTCCAACATCAATGCTTGACCTCACCTCACCTCACAAATGCACTTCTGGAAGAATGGTCAAACCTTCCCATACACACACTCCTAAACCTTGTAGACAGCCTTCCCAGAAGAGTTGAAGCTGTTATAGCTGCAAAGGCCAATTCAATATTGAACCCTGCGGACTAAGACTGGGATGCCATTAAAGTTCATGTGCGTATAAAAGCAGGTGTCCCAATACTTTTGGCAATATAGGGTATCTCTTTTATATTATCAGTGCTTTCTCTTTCAGTCTGAAATTGTGCTCTGCTTGCCTTTCGTATAATTCTACTGACATCTACTGTTGAAACACTGAAAGGCAATTTTTTGAAAAGATACTTGAAAAAACAGCAGCATACGTATGTTATGTATTGGAAACGGCAAGGAAAACATTTTGACGTATTTTATGATAGGATCAGATTTTATAATTCTTGTACTTTATTGTTAATTTGCTAAACACTCTATAATGATTTCTGAAATTCAAGCGTTGTTTTAAAATAATGATTCCTAGAAATGCCCTGCATTTCTGTCCTGACTACCTACATGCAGGACTACGCAACATGTTCCCTTTATTGTCACCTTCTACAGCTGCACATACTCACCTTTCTTAACTCTTTCACTGCTCTGTTTAGCTGCCAAGAGTAAAGAAAGATGGTGTTGTGTAAACTCTGAGTTGCTTCAGTCTCTCCAACCCCTGCAATCATTTCTTGCTTTCTATTATTGGGAATACTGGGTCATTTCTATACTCCCAGCCAGGGCAGACTGACCATTTGGAAACTCGGGCACTGCCCAAGGGCCCGGGGTCAGTAGGGGGCCCCATGAGATGCTCCTGGTCCCAGCAGTGGCACACAGCATCAGAGGAGCAAGGTAAAGGTAAGTACTGAATATGCTACCAGAAAGAAGCCCATGAAAGAACAAAGCACAAGTTTGCTTTAAATACGTATATTCAAATGCTATTTTAAAGCTGACCTAAGCAAGTATTTCCTTAACACAAAAGGTGTGTGCATTGTTACTTGAATCCTGATGTGCTTTGTGTATTTCTTCCAGACCTGTGTAGTAATTCAGCATGAAACTTTTGCTTCTGTGAGCTTTCTTTAACCACTTGCCTACTGGGCACTTTCACCTCCTTCCTGTCCAAGCCAATTTTCTGCTTTCAGCTCTTTGAATGACAATTGTGGTGGTCATGCAACACTGTACCCAAACCAAATTTTTATAATTTTTTTTGACAAATAGAGCTTTTTTTTGGTGGTATTTAATCACCACTGGGGTTTTTTTTTTTATTTTTTGCCAAACAAACCAAAAATAGACAAATTTTAGAAAAAAAAAGTTTCTGTTATAACATTTTTTAAATAAGTAATTTTTCTCCTTCACTGATGTGTGCTGATGAGTCGACACTGATAGGCACTGATATGCGGCACTGATAAGTGGCACTGATAGGTGGCACTGATAGGTACTGACAGGCATCGTTGATTGGACACTGAAAGGCAGCACTGATGAGTGGCACTGATAGGCAGCACTGACTGTCATTGATAGGTGGCACTGATAGGTGGCACTGATAAGCACTGATAGGTGGCACTGATAGGTAGCACTGACTGGCATTGATAGGTGTCTGGCATTTATCAGTGTAGATGTCCCCTCTGAGGAATGCTACTTACTGGCTCTCCTCTTCTCACGCGCTGTCAGCGTGAGGAGAGAACTGCTGATAACCGGCATTTCCTGTTTACATGTGATCAGTGGTTGTTTACCAAGGTCGGTGATCCATTATGTCCTAGGGACACAGCAAACCACTGATTGCTGCACCACGCACCCCTGGGGGTGTGCATATGCGCAACAAGAGTGGGAGGATGTCATATGACATCCTCCAGAACAAGAAAGCACCCGTCCATCTGTCATTTCCCTGCGGCGGGTGGGAGGCAGTTAATAAAGACCGGTCACTGCTGCTCTCTCTCCTGGTGCAGGGTGACTGGTCTTGTCACTGCCCCCTCCTGTAGTTTTCTGAAGGCAGTCTGTAGTAGTGGATAAAGCCTGTTGGGTCCCTCCGACACCTCTGCTCTCCGCACAGGATATGTGCAGTACAATGATGATGTCACTGCTGCTTTGACACTTTGACAAAGTAACATCTAGTTTTTCAAAGCCACATGGTGCACATAAAGTGAATTTATTGTATATAATTTGTGACCATTGATAAATATGTTAAATTAAATATTTTGTGCAGATAGGCACCTTCAAAAAAGTGTTCTCATTTACTGTGTTTTCAGTCTACCCTTCCCAGTGAAAGCTCATTCTGTTTTCAGCTTCAAGGGCTAAAAGGTATAGGTTCACTGAAATAACTGATAAGATGACCTCTATGACTGAGCCCTGTGGGTGGGGCAAATGCATCAGAGGGGCATGGCCTGGAAGGAACTGGGCTGAACTCACATCTCATATATCTGCACGTCCTCTGGGTCATTTGGTGTACAGCATCTTACTAGTTTTTTCAGTGGACTTTCTCTGGAGCCAGGATTAGTTCTTTAGATACCGGCACCCATCAGTGGTGTGAGACATTGGGGATCTCCACAGTGGCCCTTTGAGCAGCGCTGAGTTGCACACATAGGAGTTTGGAGGCAGAAAAAAATCCACTGCCAGTGCATCCAGTAGCATAGACTGCATTTATTTGCCTTGTCCCACCTGCCTGAGTAATTGTAGCTCTGGCCATGAAGAAGAAGCTCCTCTTCTTTAGACATGGGCAAGGATCAGTGCAGGAGTGGAGGTAATTCTGCCTACACCCACAAACCACAGAGCGACCCATTCAGAATGGCTTCCTTGTAATTATTCAGTTACAATAGCTATTGGATTTTTCAGCATTCAGAGAATCCCTAGAAGCATATTAAGGTGAGTATGAATTTGGGTAAAGTGCAATCATGGGGACCAAGACGTCAAGCTGAAATGGAATTAAAAGGTTTAACTGAAAGGCGCAATGGTAGCATAAATGGTTTGAAAGTAACAGGCATCCAAGGAACAACATTTAAGGTAATATGGTCCCTTAAACAAAAATCAGTTATGCAGAATACAAAAATACAAAAGGGTAACTGTTACAATAAGACAGGAAACAAATGAGCAAAGTGTCTTCCAGCCTTCCATACTCTAACTCTAGCAAAGAGTTGCCGATTTCACTCCTGCTAGTCAGCAGATGGGCTGGCGACTGGAGCTGGATGGCCAGAGTTCATCATCCAAGGTCATAAGCTTGAGTGTAAACATTTACATATAGCTACATAGTTAGTCTAGCTGAAAAAAGACCAAAGTCTATCCAATTCAACCAAAAATAAAAAAAAATGTATAATCCTATACCCACAGTTGATCCAGAGGAAGGCAAAAAAACCCAGCAAAGCATGATCCAATTTGCTCCAGCAGGGGAAAAAATTCCTTCCTGATCCCCCGAGAGGCAATTGGATATTTCCTGGATCAACTTTACCTATAAATGTTAGTATCCAGTTATATTATGTGTATCCAAGAAAGAATCCAGGCCTTTTTTAAAACAATCCACTGAGCTGGCCAGAACCAACTCTTGAGGGAGTCACATTTTCACAGCTCTTACTGTGAACAAACCTTTCCATGTTTGGAGATTAAATCTCTTTTCCTTCAGACGTAAAGAGAGCCCCTTTGTCCTCTGTGATGGCCTACATATATTTCCTAAGGATATAAAGTATATGTAAACCCAAGCCGCATCTCTATGTGTCTTATAAACGCATAGAGCAGCAGCTTGAGAGTGAGCATGCACCAGTGCCCCTATAGCAAGAGGAGCTAGGAGCACCAGCAGGGGACCCAAGGAGGATGATTGTGGCTGCTCTGTGCAAAACCACTGCACAGAGCAGGTGAGTATGACGTGTTTGTTATTTTAAAAGAAAAAAAAAATACAAACCTTTACTGTCACTTTAATGTAATTTCAATAGTTGTTTTCAAACTTTTTAAACCTGCAGTATGAAGATTCTTGTTCAGGCATCTCTTGCTGGTATTTGAC